ACGAACAAACGTACGGACGTAGGTACCAATAAACAGTGAGTCAATCAAGCAAACTTATAGTCAAATAGAAAGGCAGCTGGATGAAAGCTGCTCAGATGAAGGCGAAGAGATAGACAGACGAATTGGTAAAATAGAGGCCCATATGAGGTGGGCCAAGTATGCTTGGCAGGTCTTCAGGGGAGCTGCTCCTTCCGGAAGCTCGAGACTGTGTTTAGCGAAGTGGTGACGTCGGGAGTGGTCTTCTCTTCTTCCCAGCCTCTTTTTTTTCATCTCCCTCCTTTCCGCTAGCTGCCGCCTAGCTTATGGACAGCATGCCAGGCAGGGCAGATGCCGATTTCTCATTCTTCTCTTGTCAGACTCTCCTTCGCTTAGTCCAAACTCGAATTACCGTGAGCCGATCTATCAGCCAACCTACCGGTGTCCCAGCCGACTGGCCTGCAGCACCACCGTTGCTACCCTTCTTTATGCTATTCGTTTTCTTTCGCTATTTTGCACCTGCACTGTCCTCCTCATCGCAAGTGGAACTCACTTTGAGCTTATGCGTAACAATCTGGCCTAACGACAGGTTCACCAGACTCGGTGTTCCTTCCTTCTGGACGGTTGCCAGGCTTGCCTCACAGGCTCTTTTGTTGGCAGGCTGTCTGGCCTCGCCTCAAGAACCTGGTGAAGGAGAGCTTTCCCCTCAATTGCGATCTTCGTATATTCTGGATGATTATTCGCTTGACATGCTACATGCCAAAACACATTTTGGAAACCACATGCTTTCATTCCTGCCTCCTTCTACAGGATTTAATCCACTCACTCGCCTGCCTCACGCTCCGACCGGCAACATCAGCTGGACCGACCAGGCCGGACTCGAGCCAGGCTTGTCTCGTGCTCACTTTGATGCCTCAGAGGCGAGGCTGCCACACGACGATGAAAGTCCCGGTGGTCAGTGGTTCGGGCCACGGGCTGGACTCGGCTTGGCGTACACCAATGCAGAAAAGTCTGGTGGCTCCGACCATACCGAAGTGCAGTCCTCCCGTGGAACGGGACTGAGAGATTTCGATGGGCAGGAGGCAAAGGTCGGCGGCGACGGTGCTATTATGACCAGTTCAGCCGATTCTGTGTCTATTGAGCAGTCGGACGTCTGCCGACCGGCCGAAATTGAAGAGGGAATTCAGTGCTTGAGTGATCCTCCCGCCAGCTCCTAC